TTTTATTTATTTATATATAAGTATTTTTAGAGTTGTTATCTAATTTAAGGATCACACAAATAAAACCATCAAGAATGCAAAGTATTTATTTTTAATACTTCTGCACATACTTTATTGATAGATTTAAATGTATTTAGTGCTCTGTGCAAAAGCAAATCAAAGGTTAATTTGAAATCAAATATTTGATCAAGTCAAATTTAATCAAATATTTGATCAAATCAAATTCAAATTGATCGAATATAACCATGAACTAGTTCACGATTATTTATCAGATCGATCATGAAATAGTTTATAGTTAAATAACTATAAACTATTTTATAATCGATCTGATAAATGATCGTGAACTAGTTCACAGTCATATTCGATCAATTTAAATTTAATTTGATCAAATATTTGATCAAATTTGATTTGATCAAATATTTGATTTCAAATCAACCTTTGATTTGCTTTTGTGTGGAGCACTAAATGTATTCTGAAATCTCTATACTTTTACTAACTTTTATTATAATAATGTACAATCTCATTGATTATGTTTAGATATATCAAAAGAGTAGGGGGGCAGAAGTATCAAAAATATTTTGCATCAGAGATAAATTGTAATAAAGCTAGGTAAAGCCACATTGTAAATTAGTAAAACTGCTATATAGATAAGTTAGGGTTAAATTTGCATTTAGCTATGCTTTTTATTATGCAAAAATATATTTTACCCTCATATGATCTATGTAGGTTTTTTAATATAAAAAATGAATGATTTCAAATTACAAGCAAGGTAAAGAACTTTTTTATACTAAGCTTAAATGCTCTAATTTACGATTAGGGATGGGTTCAGTTACAAATGGTTACGATTATTCATAGCCATTTTGTTCGTAGTAAGCATAAGCAAATTTATTAATCTAAATTTTTAAAATAAGGTATATATTAAAATATATATACCATTGTGTTAAAATAAGCTAATTAGATATATGAATATTGCGTCTTTATTATGGTAATTTGGGTAAGTATGAACATATAAACGTTATAGTTAGCTAATTTGACGCTTTAAGTCAGTATTTGACATTGTTTTGTAATCAATAACTCTTATTTTGACACAAAAAAATCACCAATAATATTCTAAAATTTAAACTCATTTCATTCTTTTACGGCATCAAGATGCAGTCGGAGAACAAACTGAGTTTTAATAAATTGTGACATTTTGTTTTTAATGCTAATAATTGACATAAATTAACTAAATTTCTACATCACTGTAAAGAGATTCAATAGCTATTTTTAAATGGATAATTATTTTTGAACCCGGGTACTTTATTCAATTTTCTTTATCCGTTATAGAGCTTATCGTATCGTCGCGAAATAATGCCTGGGCCATTATTTCGAGACAAAAAATTTTAAAACGAGTTAATAGTTAATTTTGCCAAAGATTTTTTTAAACCTCAATTAATATTTATTTAATAGTAAAGTTAAAAAAAATCTTTAGCAAAATTAACTATTAACTCATTTTAAAATTTTTGTCTCAAAATAACGCCCTGAGACATTATTTCATGATGATACAGTACTAGGAATGATATGTACTCATCAAAATAAATATCGTTAAATCACTAGCGCCTATATGTTGCATTTAATTTTCATTAGACTGCAAAAAAATTAGATGTGTAAATTTAAACCGGTAGCGAAGTGCCAGATAACATCTAATTATATTAAAATCGTTAGATTTACATGAAGGTAACATTTAGATTAATAACATAAATAATCAATGAACAATGATGATGATAATGATAATCAGGTTTCTGATCTCATTAGAGATTAATAACTACAAACTGCTCATATGTTCTATTTAGTTTTTATTCTATTTGTATTATATATAGTTATTTATAAATTTAGACTGTTAGCGAAGTAACAGGCTGTATCTAGTAAACTATACTGAATATGTAACCTTATGTACATACATATAATATCTGGTATGTAATTATATATCTTTTTTTTAATTTCTGATTCGTATCTAATTCGTATTAAATTAGTCCATAAGTGTGATCTAATAATATAAAATTATAATGAGTTTCATGCTATCTTGGGATCAAACCTATAATACTTTATCTTTATATTTATATTGATTTAGTTGTAGATCACTTTTTATTAAATTGTCTTTGTTAAAATTATTTTAACTAGTAAATAAAATCATTTATTAATTTCTTATTTATATAATTTAATTAATAGATCCATTTTCATTAAGTTTCTTATTTGAGTTGATTCAACTGGTAAGAATAATATATAATTATTAATAAAATTATCTATTCACCTATCATTAATTTTTTCTTATCTTTACTGATTTAGTTGACTTTTGTCCAAGGAAAAGTTGTTGCCTATTCAGTTTAATATTTTTTGTTAATTTTTTCTTTAATTCATATGAGATAAATTTATCAAGAAGCTTTTCTTAAGTTGATTTGATTAATGAGTAATTGATTATTTGTATTTAAAATAATTTATATTTCGAGTTTCTTATTGATAATAATTTAACAACTTTTATAATCTATTTACTTATTAATTTTTTATTCATGCTAATTACTAAGTAGATTACATCTTATTAAATCTTTTATTCATATTAATTTAATAGGCAAGTATAGAGATTATTTATTAATTGAATTATTTGAAATAATCTATTTATCTTATTACTTGTCTTTGCTAATTTAGTTGGTAGGTTAGTATCGAGCTGATTTAACCCGTAAGTATAATAATCATTTAAGTGCTTTAAATAATCTATGTATCTACTTATTATTAGTTTTCTTAGCTGCACTAATTAGTGCTCAGCACAGTTAAGCAAAAATTAATACTCAAATACTTGATCTCTATCAAATCAACTAGCCATTATACACACTTGCATATGTATATATATATAATTCATTTGATCTATGATTGTTTGATATCTGATTTGATTAAGTTTTTTGAGTATCAAATTTTACTTGATTGTACTGAGCACTAATGCTAATTGAGTCGAGATTAGCTAATTTAACTGGCAAATATAATGATTATTTTGCTAATCAAAGTATTTGAAATAACTTATTCATTCTTATTAATTTCTTTTTATCTATTCTGATTTAGTTTATGGTTTAGCTTCTTATTGAGTTAATTTAACTGATAAGTATTTGATTATTATATTATTAATTGAAATTTTAAAAAAACTATTTACATATCTAATTTTTTTTATTTATTGCTTTAGCTGATCTGTTTATTTTTCACTGATTTATTTGTGCTAATTTAGTCAATAGATTACTTTAGAGGCTTTTTAATCAAATTAATTTAGTTAATAAGTATAATAACCATATTAATCGAACAATCTTTATATTTCTAATTAATTTCATATCTATGCGATGAGATAGTCATTATCTGAGTCGATTTAACTGCTAAGTATAATGATCATTTATTAATTGAAGTATTTAAATTAATTTATCTATCTTACTAATTTCTTATTTATAATGGTTTAGTTGATATATTACATCTAGAGTTTGGAATAAAATTTATTAATGTGAATGTGTTATAAGTGTTTAAATTTAGAGAACACCTATTTCCACTATTGAAATTAGCTATTTTTACAATGCTTTTCATATGATTTTAGCTACCTAAACATGACAAACATATTGTCATGAAAGATTATATCAAATAGTAGAAATAGTAAATCTTTATGATAGAAATAGGGTGTTTCTCTAAATTTATTACAATTATAAATAAATCGAATTATTAAATTCAATTTCAAACTCTATGTAGAATGTATATTATAATTGATTTGTTGTAAAACATCTTGTTGTATTGTATGATTGCAATTTTGTAAATACAAAAAGAGGACATGCATTAATCTGATTAGTCTAGTAACAGCTTTATATTAATATGAATTCATTGTAACGGCTTGTAACAGCTTTTAACGGTTTTGTAATACCTTTTGTAATGACTTTTGTAAAGTTTTTGTGATGGCTTTTGTGATGGTTTTGTAACAGTTCTTGCAATGGTTAACGGGTTTGCTAATGGTTTTTAAGAGTTTTGAAATGGTTTTTGTAATGATTTTTGTAATGGTTTTGTAACAGTCTTGAATATTCGAATTAATTTGAATATACATTTAATATGAATTGATTCGAATATTCAGTAAATTGAATATTCGATTCCAACCTCTAGTAAGGAGTTATAGACTTTTGTTTTGTTTATAGGCTGTTCAAATTGGTGACTATATTGTGGAAAGAAGTTGTCAAACCACTTATTAAAGTGTTCAAGTGAGTTTGATAGAGATCGTATATTAAATTTCTTATTGAAGAGATTTTTAGGAATATTGAATTCGAGATAGATATTAAATTTAGTATCAGATTTGATCTGAAGATATTTTTTATCATAGCTAGTTATTATGAAGGATATTTTAAATCTTTTTGGTCAAAGTTTAAAGTCCTCTGCAAATTTGATATAGTTGATAGATTAATAATTGTCTAACAAGTATAAGTGGAGGCGAGCCAGGTTAATACAGAATTGTAATCTGTTTTGAGTTTTGTAAGGAGATATTGTTGCAGAGGAGGCAAAGATTTTTGGATGGTTTAGTTTGGTAAAAAGAACTGTGGTAAAGGTAAGTGTAAGTTTTTTGAAGGTTTCTTCAATAATGTCGAATGGGATTGTAAGGGCTGCATCAGTATTAGGGTTTTGTTGTTAAATAAATTTTGTGAGAAATTGTGGTCTTTCTTCAGCCATCTTATGAATGATGTAATAGAAGCTAACTTTAAGAGCTTTTCGAGTATAGGTTTTAGCACGAATTTTTTTGCCCAGATAGAAGTCAAATAGTTGTTTTTTAAGGTGATTAAATATTTTTCTAGCCATATCTGTTTGTAATTGTGCATATTTTTCCATTTCTTCAGAGACTGAAAAGTTAGCAAACTAGTCAAATGTTGGATTATTTTTGTTATTAGAATCTGTTGATTGGAGTGCGAGGAGGTACTTGTATTTTGTTGATTAAAGGTAGTATCTTTAGTATTATCTGGTTATTGTTCTGGTTGTTGTAAATAAGGTTGTTGTTGTTGTATATCGGAAGTATTAGTATATTGTTGTTGTTGCTGTGCAGGATTTGTGTTGTTAGATGTAGAATTGTCGTTGATATCTATATTATCATTGGTGTTACCTCCTTGTTCAGTTGAAGTTAGGGGCCAAGTTCAGAAGACAAAAAATTGTTGGGTCTATACTCATATAAGGATTGTTATATTTTTTAATAAATGAGTCTGCACTGGTTGAAGAGCCTTGTTGAGGATTGTAAGAAGAGGAACTTTGTTGTATAGTAGATTCAGTTTTTAAAACCCTAACCATGGCGAAAAAATGTGACTGGTTACGTGATTTTTCAGAATCTAGCAAATTAGATAGCAAAATCAGGTGTAACATAAAATTGTGCTCTTTTTGGTTTTTTTTTGAAAAAATCATTGATAACTCAAAATTTTACTTATAAAAATGCCTTCTGCGTACTAATAAAAAAAATTCCTTACTGAATTTTGGTATAGAACATGCTATACTCTCGTGCTAATTCTAACCTTAACAATAAGGTTTATTACTTTAAATTGTGCACTTATTTGATTGTTTTGATTTTTGCTGATTGGCTAAAAATCACATGACTAGTCACTTTTTTCACCATGATTAGGGTTTTATTCAGTTTTAATGCAAGATTTGTGATGAGGCTTGTCATTAAACAATATAGCGTCAGCTGCTAAGTAATGTAAATTATTGGTTGATTTGCACATAATAGGTTTTTTACATTTGGCACATTCATGATGGTGTACATCAGGTGTTGAGGATGCAGTTGGAGAAGAAGAAATAAATTGAGTAGCTTGCTCAATTTCTGCTGCAATATTTTTGAGTTTCTTGGTGTTTTTAACAGTAGTTGTATTTGTGCCTTTTTCATAGACTTGGTTGTTTTGAAAAATAAATTGAGTGTGGTATTTACCATAAATACAAATAATGGAAGCTGACATAAGTGGAGCTTGGAAAAAATGTGTAGTTTTGGTTTTTTCTCT